ACCTGCCTGTTTCTCACAAATGCGTTTTATTCAGTTTATTATTTTTAAAACAGTAAGAAGGGCTTTTTTTGTTTGTTTTTCGGAATGTTTAACTAACATTTTATTTTTTAGTGCAAGGGCAAGTGCCAAGAAAATGAATAAGAGGGCCGCATGCGGCCACACAGGTCTAGACGCTGGTCTAAAGTCAGTTGATCCACTTGGCTCTTGCACATGAGCAGCTCTGATTGGGTGACGGTCTCTATGAGTTGCTTGCTGGACTGCCTCGAATTCTATGTCGTACACTAAAGCGCTGTTTAGATCCTTGACATCCGCCATTCGCACGGCTTTTTGTATCTCAGAGTCCGGATGCCATCGATTAAATGGTTCAGGGACACTTCATCGATTCTGATGGACAGTCCGAAATGGCGCAATGAGACAGCCTTTCAGCATCCGTGGCGAACTCCTGGAGTGTTTCCGCGAACTTCTGCTGGCAATATTGTAATTGAAGCTTGCTACAGTCTTTTAAACCAAGCGCAGCTCGAAGGTGCCGGATACCGCTTCGAAGTCTATCCCCTGGGTTTTCACCCGAAAACCAGGGACTAGGTATCAGGCCTTAGCTTGGGAATCTCATCCATTTGTGCCTGCCACTATAAAGAATTGAGTCTTATATAATTGCCAGAGCTCTTTCCATGATAAGTGGACAGCTTTAGAGAGGTTTGAGAAGGCATGGGTAAAAATTTAAAGCCGTCAGATGTGCTTTCTGCTGTCGCTATGAATTTCTTTAAGCTACCAATTTTTTTGGCGACAGTATATATTCTGTGATCCATTTTTTGTTTGGCAGTAGAAACTCTCTGTTCGATTTGTTGTTTGACAGAAGAAACTCTCTCTTCATTTTCTCCAACTTTATTTTCTACCCTGCCTATTCTGCATTCCATAGCCTCTAATTTGTTTTCTAGTATGGAGGCAATTTCTCATTCCATTTCCTCTTGAATAGCTTTCATCTCCTCTTCAACGGATTCTTGGACAGCTTTCATCTTTGTTTTAATAGCTCTCGTCTCTACTTTAACAGATTCGTGGTCCGTTTTCATCTCTTTTTTAAAGAAGTTAATGGCTCATTCTATCTTTTGTTGGAATACATTAGAGGCAGTCACGAACTGTGTTTGTTGCTCCTCAATCGCTCTTTCTCCGGCATTCAACCTTAGTTCTGACACTAAAAAACTGTTGCGTGAGTACGGGTTCGTTAGAGATTGAATGCGCGCAGAATCGATGGTAGCTTAATAAAATTTATTTTATCAAAAGAAACAGTTCACAGTTCTGGAACTTTCCACAAAAATTATCGTACGGCTGTTCAGAGTATCAGAGGGAAAACTCAGTAGTTACGCTTTAAATTACTAAAAACGTTCAACACAACGCAATGAAAAGCGCATCTAAAAGGCGAAGCTCTTACGGATATCTCAGTACTCCGAATTCAGCTCAGAACTAATAACTGAGAAACTGATGCTCTCTCCGCTCTTATATAGTTTTTCCCCGGCTGCGGACAAATCTCTAGTACTTTTCGAAATTACTGGAAAGCATATGAGGGCCGGATACTGTTACATAATTACAATACCCATTACAGTTATACAGGGACCGGACCAAAATGGCGTCAAGTTTGGCTACTTTTGGTGATCTCTCGCTAAATCTGTCGACAAAAATTAATCTCCATAACCATTACAAGCTTGACAATATCTCGCCAGTTTAGCGAGATAGCCATTTGCTCAATTGTTAAACAGACATGGCTTTGTACTTTTATTTCCCCGCAAAGGTTCGCTTCTTTAGATTTTGATCTTACATTATACAAAAAATACTACAATTTTACACGTAATTTCACTACAATTATTTATATATGTACAAAATCATAACCTAATTTGAATTTGGTTCTGCAAAAATCATGCGTAAAGCTTCTTGAGTTAGTAACTTAGACTTGAATCTTTCCACTTTAATAAAAAATTTGTCATCTTTAGTTAATAACATTAATTTTTTAACGTGTCAAAATTTTTGATATCTTAGTTTTTTCCCTTTTCATTACTATTTTACTCGACAGATCATAATACATTTGTTTCACTCTGCTCCACTCATACTTTCTGCATAAAATCATTTCAGTCAGTGCCGAAATTATCTTTCTCACTTCTAAAGTATGTAGGCTTAGGTCTCATTACTCTCGTAACTGATTTCAAAATCTACGTCAAAATATACTTTTGCGTCTAACTTTAAAATCCTTAGTTTCTTTAAATAAAGTAAAAAATATGGTACTTATTCGTAAACCTTCTCGTACGGTACTCTGAGAAGAGGTTTTTTTTTCCCCCCCATATAAATATAAAAAATTTTACTTAGAATTTTGTCGCGTATTTTTTTGTTTATATAGTCGCGTTTTCAGCTAAATGTGCTGTCGACTAAATATCTTGTCAGCAAAATGTTCGTGTCGGTTAATGCCCCGTTGGTTGAATGTCCGTTTCGGCTAAATGTCCTGTCGCTTAACTATCCGTGTCGGTTAAATATCCTGTCGGCTAAGAGTCCGCGACCGAGTGTCACACACAGTGAGTGTTCATTGAAATTGGTGTTTGGTTTCCTTGCAAACTGAATGATTTCAAACTTTTATTTAGTTACAATCAAATGAAAACCAAGCGCCGGCATTGATTGCTATGAATTACATGCTACGACAATTGCTAAGAGCCTTGCCATTCACAAAAACACGCGGCATAAAATTTGGTTTAACTTTGGGCAGTGGCGTAGCTAGGATTCCAGCGCCCGGGGACAAATGAAGAATTTGCGCCCCTTTTTGTGTGTCATGAATGGAAAACATTTCATTAAAAAATTTCGTAGCATCAATTTGGCGCCGCCTGGATGCTGCGCCCGGGGGCAGATGTCCTCCCCTTGTCCCAGTCTAGCTACGCCACTGACTTTGGGATTGATTTCCGAACACGATAATTCATCAAGTTATAAAGCAATTATTGCCAAAGAAGTTTTTGGGACCAATAGAAGCGACTCTGTCAAACTATCCGACTTATTTGCCAGGTAACTATTTTTATTCCCCAAACTGAAGTTCTAAAGAATCGCAGTTTTGAGCTCAGTTTTGGAAATAAAGAAGCTGGGATGAGTCACCTAATAACAATCTCAGAAGAAAATTTCCGTAAGGGCATCCAGGAATTAAACAGCCATGTTTTTTTAAATATGTGAACATACAAGGAAAGTACATGGAAGACTAACTTATGGAAAATCATGAAAAGTACTGATTAATATGCATTTTTTCAAAAAGTAAATTTATTCACAATTTCTAGAATTCGTGTTCTAAGGAACATTGGCAGAACAATTGGCAGTATTAGCAAATAGACATCTTACATTAGATATTTAAAATTAAAATTATTTGTAGTTTAATGAATTTTTTGTAAGATTCATGATAATATTAATAGTATATTTTTACAGTTTGAAAATTTGGAATATACTTGTGCGAAAGTTCTTTCGGCAAACCAGCTGTAACAAAAATATAAATTAAAAAATATTACACTCTAATGAATCACAAAAGATATCATTGGATGCAATTAAAGGAAAAGAAACCAACCTCTAATCATTCTAATTTGTTTTTTAAGCTAACCCATAAGCTGAAACCTAACCAGCTGAAAAAGCTTTTTAAAATCTCAAATTTTTGAAACTGCATAAATATTTCGGTCAATTTTTATAGTGCAGGAGTCAAACGTTTTGTGTTTTATATTTTATCATAAGTAAAACTTTTACTAAAGATAACTAACTATAAAAGGGTGGGGATAAATAGATTTTTGTAGTTTTTACAAAGCTTATTTTTAAAATTTGAAAATCCCAAAACATGAATACCTACGTCGTTTAAAATACACTCTTACACACACACAACCACACACACACACACACACACACACACACACACACAAAAAAAAAAAAAAAAAAAAGACGCACCGAGAAGATATAAAGCAAATTGGACACAAATTGATATGCACACAGGTTTCGACGGAAAATGCAAATTTTTTTTCCCTGTCAATGAATGAACGGTTGTCGCTACAGCGCATCTGATCTGCGCAACTGGAGATTTCTTTAAGAGGAGAAATTACGATTCCAAGTCATAAATTCTTCACGAATTTCATTCCGTGTACTCTGGTAGACAGTAACTATGCCTCGCATACAGGTGCGCAAATGTGAGAATTTAAGAGAGGTCATGTAGTTGGACTCAAAGAAGCCGGTTGGTCTTATCGCTGAATAGCTCGACATTTGAGCAGGAGTTGAGGGATGTTGACGATCTAACGCGCCAGTTACACAGAATTTGGCACGATATCCCTCAAGAGAACATCTGCAACCTCTATCAATCGATGCCAAGCCGAATAACTGCTTGCATAAAGGCCAGAGGTGGACAAACGCGTTACTGACTTTTTTAATTTGTGAAGCTCTATTACTTCATTAAATAATCCAATTTTTCTCTAACTGCAATCATTTGTTTTTCTGTATATGTACATCACTTCTACCGATTTTCGTCCCACTCGGATAACTCCTTCTTGGTGCTTTTTTTTTTTTTTTTTTTTTCCAAGAGTGTATTACTGTTTGGAATTATAGTATGTGTATGACCAACGAGGCTCTATAAAGCTTTTGTGGTCATGGTATAGATATTTTAATGCATAAATTTGATTGCCAATGTAGGTGTAGATATTTATTTCTTTATGTGTAATTTAGGTTTTTTAGGCTTCTTGAAGTATACTTGAAGTAGTTACTTCAGTTAATCCCGGGAGGGGCGGAGTGTTGTCTGAGGTGACTAGGCTCCAGTCAGCTAGGATGAGTATCAGTCTAATATTCATTCTTAACATTTTAAATTTTTAATGGGCATCCTTAATAATTGTGTTATATTAGCTTGTTTAATAAGCTTTTATTCCGTTAATGATAATAAGTAATGTATATTTTATAAGCAGTTTCATCTGAAGACTGTTTTATGTTTCTCAGAGTTTTAGTGCTAAATTTAGGCTTACCTCCACCAGCACATAGCATTCTTTCCGAAAATCTTCCTTTTTTCTTCTTCTTTATAAAGTCCAAGCAGTTTTCTCTTGATTGCAGGGTAAGGATGACTTCTTTCAGGTGTTCCCTCGCTTTAAAGGTCGGCTTTTCTCCATTAGCTGGGTTGCCTTCTTGACCCCAGCCTGCAGCGAGGGCGAGTTCATTAGGCTTGTATAGCGGGCTGTTCGGGGGTAAATCTGGGGGGGGGGAATAGAGCATTTTCTAAATTCCGAAAGATTTTATAGATAAATGATATTTTTGCTTTAAACCCAGTTTTAAAATATGTGATTTTGAGATCTATCTGCAATGGAAGAAATTACGATAAAATTTCTACGGGCATACAGCGTTTTGAAGCAAAATTGATGAAAGGAAAATTTGATTCGTATCTATTCTTAAGGCCGTCGTCATGCAATATCCACAGGACAAAAGATATAAAAACCAGCCAGTAGGCATATTGATTAATTTCGTATTGATTAGTGTTTCTACATATAATTAAAACATATGTAGAAACTATAATTAAAGGAGGCAGATGGCGCTGTGCGTCTGACTTCCTTTTGAATTAAAAATTCTATTAGCGTAGAAGCCGCGAAGAATAAAGAAGGATAAAAATTTTATTGTGAAATATATATATATATTTGCATTCTTATAGTCATGTTTTTGTGTGAGCCGTAAATAAAACTGAATAAAATATCTTGGATTGTATAGATCTCCTCTGACAGGCTCTCTCTTTAATTATTTTATTTGTTTTGAATGTTTAGAATTTATTTGTAAAATTCTAAAGCGACAGTGAGATTAGATGTAAATTACATCAACATAAAATATGCATGTAATGGTTCAATCCTAGAATACGCTGCACAAGTCGAGACGTTGTTTACTTGTCTTAGGCTCGGACATGCCTTTTTATGACGTAATATTGGCTACGCCTCTTTTTTAAAACAAGTTATAGCTGCTTCATATCTGAAGAAAACTTAAATTATATTTTAACTGAGTTGAAATGTTAGGTTTATAACGTTCTGCGCGAGATTTTTTTAAATTATAAATCTACTTTTGTGCGTTGTGTGATACTGTTCTTTTGCTTAAAGAGCTTTTTGATCACTGATGAGTGTATCTGATTTGGTGCTTTCTGCAGTATGAATGATTATCTGAATCTGGATTTTTTTTTTTTTTATCAGTTGGAGCGAAAAGGTAAAAAAAAGCGTGATTGAGTGGTGTTTGGAGAAAAGTTTGATTGCATGATCGTATAAATGTCCAATTTGTGACACTAATACGGAACTAGAAGAGCGAAAGAACTGTACAGATAGTTTTGAGTGGATGTGTAGAGATTTTGTAGGCAAATGTAATGTTTTGTGCCGCTAAGCTTTTTTTTTTTTTTTTTTTTTTTTTTTTTTATGGCGACCATTGATTGTTTACATTTGAAACAGCAGACTAGTGGATTTGTTGCCAATCTAGAGAAACTTAGCTTCGCAACAACAAAGATAACGCCTTCATTTATTATTGCCAATTAAATCATGCTTAATCCTTTCTAGAATTTTTTCGAGGAAATAAGTGTTTAAGATTTACTTCGTAATTTTTAATATAGATATTTTGAGTTTTTATGTATTTTTGCCTTCTTGCGAAGTAAGAACTGAATTAATTGAATGAGAAATACTTCAATCGTCTTGAAAAACTGTTTCTTTTTTTGTTTTGTTTGCTTAATTTCTTTTATACATCGTTTTAGCTTTATTATAGTATTTGAATAGAACATGTGGCAACGATTAGATAATTCTATTCTTTAAATGATATAAATTTTGTGCATTATGAGTTATAATATGAACGAAATATAATACTGTTAAATGAATTTAGCCCCAGAGTGTCGCTATGATAAACAAATACTAGAGTGAATTTTAAAGACTGCATTTATTCTATTTTGGTTTATGCGCTGTCGGCGAAGTAGATTTAATTCAATCCAATAAGTTTAAATTAAATGCAAGAAAAAATGCGTATAATTTCATATTCCGTACAAGGAAGTCATGCGGTGTACACATCAGATTTTTTATATAACTTGAATCAATAAAGTTCGTTATGTGCGAGTTTCCGCATTTCTCTGATTTTTTTAACTGAAAGCAGATTGCTGAGTATATGAGCAGAGTTTATTCAATGTGTAGGGTTTATATTTATTTTAACTAACATTTATTTTAAGTTTAAACTATCTTTCCTGTCAAGCCTTACTTTCCTCTGGAACTGCCAATGCCAGAATATGTAAATTTGAGTAGAACGCGCAAGGATTCAAATTATCAGCGGAAGTATTCTGATTTAAATAGAAGGAAACGAGTTCGGTGTGATATTCTTACTTAGCGAGCGCGGAGATAGTTAGCGAGAATTGAAGAACCCCGCGTTGCGGCCTATGTGCTTGGCGGGAAGTAGTGGTAATCGTTCCAGTGAGCTTCAAGTCTGCTGAATTAGCAGCGGTATTGTAAAACACGGTGAGTTAGTTATTTTAGAGAGCCTCGTAGTTAGAATCTTGTCTTTACTTTCTTTTCAGGTTATTATTTTTATTTGACTGCCAAGTTGGCACAGTCTGTAAGCGTCAAGAAGACGCAATTGTAATTTATTACGTTGAATAAAAAGGGACTTAAACCCTTCACAAGGCTCTATCTTTTATACAAGCTTTCACAGTCACCTCTTGGTTGCGTGCAAGTTAGAGGCGCGCAACGTTATAAATGTCTGATTTTTTTTAAGTGAAAAGAGATCGCTGCGTACATGGGAAAAGCCAAGGTAGTGCGCAATGCCGAAATGGGGAATATTCGAAACATTTGCTAAATATCCTTATTTCTCACTTACGCCGGCAAATATTAACATTCAGCATGCACTAATGGTGAATGTTGACTAAAAATATTTTTCTTACTCTAAGACAAAAATGCAGCTTTTAAAATCATACTTTATTATTGTGAAAACAGGAGAAAGTTTAAGTAACAACACATGTAAATTAACTGTTGAACCTAAAACGAATAGTACATTCTAAATCAGAAATGAAAGAAATTACAATAAAATTTTATTAAAAAATTCTGAAAGCTTTCAGATTTTATATTACGCCCAAAGGGGCGTTTCATACAGTGTTGCCATTGGTCGCTTTGAAATCGTGGAGTTTGTTAATCAAAATTTCATTAAAGTTTTATAAAATATGAAATACACAATAAAACAAATTCCAAAAAAATAAAACAAATTCTGGATGCCCATAATCATTTGGAGAACTACGTTATTCAAAATTGGATGGCTCTAGTTACCGTTGTTTTTGACAGTGCGAGAAACATACATATAATTATGCCGATTCTTCATTATTTAATTTCTTTAAATATCATACAGGGCGATATTATTTGGTGGCAACAATTTGAAAAGTGATACAATGCTTTTAGTGATTTAACGCAAAATGCCGTATCGCGACCAATAGCCCTTCTGGGCTAACGCCTCTTTGGGCTAATAATGACAATAATAAATTTACACATAAATTATGTTGTAATGTTGCGCGGCCCCAACCTGCACGCAACAACAGTGGTGACTGCTATGAACTGGAAAGTACACAAAGTCTTGAGAAGGGTTTAAATCCCTTTTTATTCAACTTTAGAAATTACAGATGCGTGCTCTTGACGCTCACAAACTACGCCGACCCGGCGGTAAAATAAAAATAAGAAACTAAAAATGAATAATAACAAGTTACTAACTACGAAGCTTTTAAATGTAACTAACCAAACCGCGTTCTGAGATACAGCTGATATTTCAGCAATCTTCTGAATATTCAGTTGAAAGATTCAACTATCTGCCGAGGCAAGCACACAGGCCGAAACGCGCGGTTCTTCAATTTCTACCTAGCCACCTTCACGCTTGTGAAACAAGAAAAGCACACTATCGAACTCGTTTCCCTTCTATTTAACTCAGATTACTTCCGCTGATAATTTGAATACTTAGCGCGTTCTACTAAAATTTACATACTCTGGCATTGGCAATTCCAGGAAAAAGTAAGGCTTGACAGGAAAGATATCTTAAAATAAATGTTAGTTAAAATAAATATAAACCTACAATGTGATTAATCATTACACAAGTGTCTTCTCGGCACGTGACCTCCATCGCGGCAGAACAGCTAACAGGAAAAACTGGACATAGCATCAGAACTTCGCCTATGGATTTACGGGTTTTTCTTTGTCATTTACTGTTCTAGGACAACATCCTTCTCAGGGCATACTCGTCGTATGCCGACATTCTCTGAAAAACGTTAAAATTCCTTAATTTCAGTCTTGCATGGTAACATATATAGAAGTTGGCTACGCCTGATGTAGTCGGTTACTTTAGGCACGTCAATATCAGTTTTTCTTCTGGTTTGTTTATAACCATGGTAACACCTTTGGAAATAGCCAAACCCAAGTCTAGAGTAACGTCGTATCACCGGCTTTGTAAAACTCACATGGACCTGCTCCGACATGGTGACCCAATTACAAGCATCGCTGAGCCGAAGCAGCGTACTTACTACCAAGTACGTCTTGTGAGTCTCATGATTGTATGTACCACCGAGGAAACTACTCATGACCCTCATGTTGGGGGACCGTTAGCAGCTTGGTGGCGGACCCGTTAGCCGCACCCTGTTCGAGGAAAGTTACCGTCTTTCCACCGCTGGAGATGGACATTCAGAGAGGTGTAATTATGGTAACACAAAGATGGCTGAGATTATATTCACACTAACATTTTCTTGACTTAAGGCTATCCGAAGAAAATAATTCTTAAAGCGCGAGAAATCGCAAGAGAATGCTTTTGGTTACTGAACTGTTAGCTTTCTATTTGAGGGTATAGCGTCAACTGTATTTTAGTCCTCCAAATCCGCTTAAATTTCAAGTAAATGTTGCTTACAATATGAAAAACTGAGGAAGCATATTCGATAAAACATCGAAATTATTGAAAAAAAATAATAGCTAAAACCTGCAAACGCATTTGCCCATTTAGAAGAACGTAATGTTAAAAAATTATCGCTGAATGAGTGTGAAAAAGAAATTAAAAATATAAAAATCTTACTATATTTGGCGATGCAGTACTGGCTGGAAAATTTCGCTATAGAGTTCACTATTGGCAATTAAATTCGTCAGAAATTTTGCCATTCATGATCAAAAACTCCAGGTTTAACTTTTTTTTATTTTATTATTATTATTTATTGTATTTTAATAGCTAAATTTTTTATTGTTATATATGCAGAAAACTGAGAGTTTGTACTTTAGAAAATATTTTTCAAGTTCAAATACACTGACAAGGAAATGCTGTAATGAATGATATATTAACACATGTTTCTTATCAAAATGCACAAAAAAATACAAATATACGTACGTGCAGATGGCAAACAAATAGGTCTGACAAAAGCGTTGTATTCCATGGGTCTCTTTAACTTCAGAAGAGCAATATCATAATCAAAAGATTTGTCGTTGCGGTATTTTTCGTGAATATAAAATTTCTTGACACCAATCACTTGTGCAGAAGTTTTGTTGTTAACATCCGTGATACCTGAAAAATTATAATTAAAAAACACTTACTCTGCTCATGAATGGCGAAAAGTATTTATTAAGGGTTAAGAATACAATACAAGAAGAATCTTTAAGGAAAGGGTAAATTTAATACGGTAGCTTCTCCTATTTCTGCAAACAGTTTTGGGCCAAGCTGTAGAACTTGTCTATCTGGAAATCTCCACAAATCGAAATTCGTTTCCAGTCTACATTGAATATATATTTTATGTTTATATAGACTAAATTTCTTCCAAAAGCCTCTGTATCTCGAATTACAGGTTGAAGCTCAGCGATGCGACCATATGGAAAGGGAAGTTGTAGTTGAGATGTATTCACTAGCCCATCCAAACATATTGCTCCACAAAACATGCGCTAGTGGTTAATTTCTGGAAGATCTCCAGAGGGACTCAAATTAGTGCTATCAAACTGAAATTGACTGAAATCGATGCTACCAAGGCAGGGTTCGTAGCGGTCCTTATAAGTGCTTATAAGTCCTTATATTTGAAAATAAAATATAAAGGCCCTTATAGGTGCTTGCTTTTTCTTTAAAGCCCTTATTTTTTTTGTTTTTAGTGCTTATTTTTTTGCTTTTAGTGCTTTTTTTTTTTAATGAACGCACTATTTTTCTCCGTACCAAAGCCGAAACTAAATAAACAACCTTTCTTCCGAATATGGAATGTCAGATGGTGAATCATACTCCCGGAAATAGCTTTTCTTCTTTCTCTGCATTAACATAACCTTTGGTATGCACGAAAAGTACAGACAGGTGCCCGTCATTCTATTGGTCAAAGAATTGCGAAAGCAGTAGAAAATTCCGGTACGTTCGGCATTCTTTTCCTCCCACCCAAATACTACACACATTTGAATTTCTATCAAGATCTTAATAATTTGCATCCTCGTTCCGCTTGGTCAGTTCATATTCGTGTTTATTATGATCGTTATGCTTATATTATGAGCATATGTATGAATGTTTATAATAACATAGTTGCAGTAACTGCTGAAGTATAGTAAACTTTTAAAAATGTTTGTGTTTTAACACAGATTAGCTTTCTAAGGAATAATATTCGGAATGGCTTAAATAAAGGGAAAGTAATCGAATAGTAAAAATAATTTTGTTTTTTGGCCAATACATTATACAGTATGAAGATTGGGAGGTTCTCCCCTTTTTCCGCAAAATCTCGAATATTGAAACTGTTACAGTTCGCTGCAAAACAAGCAACGGACCTTTTTTTTTTTTTTTTTTTTTTTTTTTTTTTTTTTTTTTTTTTTTCTTCATATTTTGATTCTACGATGCCTAAATATTAAGTTTTGTCAAGTTTGGGGAAAAACTTACCGAGAACTTTTAAAATCTATCTTTTTTCCAGTTTGAGCCAAAAAATTTCGTAATTTATGGTAATCAATTTTCCTTCCCTTTCACTTGCACGAATGGAATAAAAGGTGCATCGTTCATTTCTTTGAAATAATTTTAACAATGTGGGTAAATCATATTTGGCGTTATTATCGCTTATAACAAATATTCCAAATTTCAAAACGCGGCGGTATATAAATTCACATATATCTTCGGAAATCTTAAATATAAAATTCTAATTTTTTGCCGGTACACCTACAAGTACATCTAATTTAATATGATGGCAAAAATTTTATAGGTTACAGTTCCACATCTTTTTCCAAACATTTATAAAAATTACTGAAAAATACAAATTTTAAAAACAAATCAGAAGATAGCTGCTAATTTTATTTGAATTGAACCTTCATTTCGAATTGGGAAAGAAAGAATCTAGACAGTTTAATAAAAACGAGATATTCATATATATGTATACTAAATTCAATTAGACTGAGGAGCAATTCAATTACATTTTGAGAGCTAAATGTTTTAAACTACTAGAGCAATTTTTACAGAAATTGGCACTTTCTCATAATATGATTCGGAGAATAGAAATATGGAAACAAATAGGTATGTTATTTCAGAAATAATCAGATTTTGTGTCAAAAACCTATGTTAGAACAATGCTATATATAAATATAATATATATATCCCAAGTAGTACTGTCGAGACATGAAAAAAGCAGATTAAATTTCGTCCCAGTACAACGGAAGCTATAGAACTTTTTTTCCCTCGAGGTGTATATAAAAGAATTCCTCACCTAAATAAACAGTGACTTGGCTTTCTTTTCTCCTTTCTTCTACATTCTTGTAGTACAAGCAATGAGCAGCTGTCAATATGTAATGTTTGTGAATGATGGATCCACCGCAGTTCAGCTGAAAAGAGAAAAATATAAATAATTTTGAAACATTGCTGATCTGAAGATATTCATGCAAAATGTGCAGAAGAGTTGTTTTAGATAGATCCTATTATCTCCTTGACTTTTAATATCCTATCCCTCAATACTTTTCGAATGATTACTGATGTCAGTGGCTCCAACGATCGACCTTCACCAGAATCATTTTCTACGGATTCTTTTTAACGAAGTTTTCAAATTTCAAATTTATTAATTTAATTTAAAGAAATATATCAAAACTCTGGAATTTTCCTCAGAGATATTCGTACAAGTGTTCACAATATCACGGAGTATAATCAATATTTATAATTCAAACTACTAAAAATGTTAAACACAACGCAGTGCAAAGCGTATCTAAAGAGAAAGCTAACTCGGATATCTCAGTTTACGCGGAAGTAAATAATTATTAATAAAAAGTAATAATTATTTACTTCTGTTGGTTTATGTTTTTAATTACAAGTTTTTATGGAAATTTGATTTACAATTCTATTTTTGTGTATTGTTTTTTATAGGGATTCTGTATATGGATACCCGTTGTATGTACGATTCTGCGTATGGATACTCCGCTACGATATAATTTTATTGGTTTTGTTTATGGGTTTTTGTCTAGTACCTCTATTGGTCTGTAGATTTTTGTGTACTGGTTTTTACAGGGATTTAGCCTATGGGTACCTATATAGGTGTAAGGGTTTTTGTTTACTAGTTTTTAATGAGGAATATACCTATGGAATATCCTTTTTTTTTTTTTTTTTTTTTTTTTTTTTTTTTTTTTTTTGTTTTTTTTTTTTTTTTTTTTTTTTTTTTTTTTTTTTTTTTTGTGGAGATTTGACCTATGGATACGCATAAAGTTCTGATTTCTGGCCATGGGTTTTTACTAGGATTTCGTTTATGGTGCCTACAGTTCTACAGATTTCTATAGGTTTTTACGAAGATTTGGCCTACTCTATCCGTACAGATGTACGGTTTTCTGTGTATATAGGTTTTTACGGGGATTTGGCCTATGGGTACCCGTATAGTTATACGGGTTTCGTTTATAGGTTTTTACGGGGATTTGGCCTACGGGTACCCGTACAGTTGTTCGGGTTTCTTTCTATGGGTTTTTACGGGGATTTGGCCTACGGGTTTCCGTCTGTGGGTTTTTACGGGGAATTGGCCTACGGGTACCCGCAGAGCTGTAGGGGTATCCGTAGACCAATTACCCTTAAAAATATTTTATTGGGTTTCTACGGCGCATTTTTAGCAGGGTCGCAACAATAATAACTAAGCAACGGAGAGCAGATGCTCTCTCTTCGGCCTTAAATAGTTTTCAACCGGCCGCAAGATATTTCTAGTACTTTCTGCTTCTTGAAATTACTGGAAAGCAATACAAGAGGGGAATTATGGTTACAGCTAACATACTGATGAATTACATTTGTTCAATTTCAATATAAATTAGCGAGATACGCTTTTACTCAATGTTAAATGCATGTGCCCCTGTATTCTTACTTTCCCGTCATAGCTTTCTCTTAAAATTTGTCTTGCGGTACATTACACAGAAAAATACTACAATTTTACTTATAATTCTACTAACATTACCTATCTAAGTACAAAATTCGTAACAATATGTTGATTGAAATTCTGGAAGTCTTAAACGCATAAAGTGCACATTTTAAGGACATCTGACTCATTCGATGTTTTAGAGAAATTTTATTTTCTTAAGAAGATGTTTTTTAAAACTGTGAAATTTCGTTGAAGGGGGAAAAAAATCTGAAAACTTTCAGGTTTTACATCACGCCCAAAGAGGCGTTTTTTTGAACGTTTTGTGCGTTACCTTTATTTATTAAATATCATGTTCTTCAACAGCAATACTGCAAAATAATTTAAAAAGAGCATATCTTTAGAATTTCCGATGCACAAACTCGCACGCTGGAGATAATTTTTTTTTTCCGTGCAGTGTTCCCATTTTTCGCTTTGAAGTCGTTGAGTTTCTTAATCAAAAACTGATAAATGTTTTACAAAATATGAAATAGATAATAAAATAAATTCCAAATTGCGGCTTCCAGATGCTCATATTCGGTGCAGGATTATGTTACTCAAAATTTGACGGCTCTAGGTACCGTTGTTTTATTACAATACCAAGAACATACAGACATTTATGCAGGTTCTTCATTATTTAATTTCTTTAAATGTCATACAGAGCTCTAATATTTGGTGGCAACAATCTGAAAAGTGATACGGCGTTTATAGTTATTCAACGCAAAATGCCAAAACGAAATTAATAATCCTTCTGGGCTAACGCCCTTTGGGCTAAAAAAAAGAAAAAGAGTCCGTGTTCGAGCAAACATACGTACATAACGGCGAACCTCAGAAAAACTGATATCGCACCATTTTGAAACTGCATAAAATAAATTGCTTAAAAGCCCCCCCCGAAAAAAAAAAGGATTTGATGCATAGAGGTAATGCGTAAAGATGTGATGCATTAAAAATATAATGTTGTGTTTTAGTACTCTAAAATTTATTTTTATTTTTCTGAATTAAAATTTAGTTTGGTTTGAAATTTTATAATCAAAATGTATTGAATTTGGATTGATCGAAGCCGAGTTATGCGAGGTAAATCTATACTTGAATTGTAAACATAGAGCAATATCAATTATGTACAGTGAATGTTTCTTACATCAGCTTCCTCCGGTTCTCCAGATCTCGGTGTAATATATAGAGCAGCCATCCATGGCCATGGTTCAGTGGCTTCTCTTCCACCAGCAATCTTTGCTTGTCCATTTATTACTCTAAGATGTTCGAGGCCCAAACCACAACGAGAATAATCTGAAATATCAAATATATTATTATAAATGTTTCACAGTTAAAAACCTTATTACATATTTATTTTTGCTTATATGCTTAGCTTGTCATGTTATTCGGGTTACCAAAATAGGTAAACAGCTACTGAAGATGAAAAACAAGAAACGTGAGGATTCTGTTAATGCGAGATAAAGGGGAACTCACCTATCGTCCCATTCGTAATCTCTTGGATTAACCAGTCGAATACAGCATAGTTCTGAAGAATAAAAACATGTTCTTTTTTTGGATCGGATGCGATTTGGACGAGAGATTCTCGTAGTATATTGCTTGCAATTCCTATAGTGTAGATCTCTACGCCTGCCTCTTTCAGCATTGTAGCTGCTTCTTTGGGATCGCCTTTCATATTCACTCGACCTGTAAGAGAACTATGAATTCATGGCAGTTCTCAGAGAGACAGAGCTTATATCCAAAAATACTATAGTGAACTTCAGATTTATTGAACTCGTTGACTCAAAATCATTGTTCATTCAAGATAATTAAACAGGATAAATAGATAGAGGGTGTCCAGCAAAGGAGTGCCTGATTTCAAAATTAAAAATATCGGACACAAAGATCGATAAAGGAATACAACAAATGGTATATTTATTGTGATTGCTATATATTGTTAGAAGCTGTAAGAAACAGAAGCTTTGAAATAATAGTTACAAAAGCTGCCAAATGATGACGCTGTACGTTGGCGCCTGGTGACTTTGGATTTTGAATAGAAACATCTGTAGGCTACTTCTCAATATTTTCTGCCCGCTGGAACTGTTCAAACCAGTCTCTGCTGCAATTCTTCGGACGGATTTCCTTTGATTTTGCTGAATAATTCCAGAAACATTTGCGACATTTTCAGAAGTAACTACACTTTGCCTGCGACCAAAACTCTTGGACATTTATCGAAGAGCCTATGAATAGTTTTCATATCAGGTTCTTTCGGAACATTTAATGTGTTTGAAAACTACGTCTTGTTGCTATAGGACTGTGATCTAATCTACGGTATTTCAGTAACAGAAACACACTTTATTTAATTTTAGTGTCTCTTCTTTTCATACGGAATAAGGTAAGGATATGTTATAGTAAAGACTTAATTCATAATACCTGATTAATTAACATAAGATATCTTACAAATGTTTATTTACAGCGAATTGTTATGATATGCTGAAATGTCTCAGGATAGTTGCCCTTAATTATAATTTTTTGCATTTTGATATCCCTGAGAGTGACGAGTCATGGTTTCTTTCCTGTACGCTTACTATATACACTTCATGTCCATAAGTTAAGGATAATTCGGAGTCATGCGGAAATGGAACTCTAAAATAAATACTATATCACCTGTAGAATCACTACACACATCTTCAAGAATCATATGCAAATTTCAGGAAGTAACCAGATGACATCGATGGTACGTCACAATGACGAGAGTGTAAGAGAGTGATATATAAGGAATACAGGCAAAGAAATAAAATTGTTTTGCAAACGCTTTTTAAGCATTTCAGTGCAATAATCGAATAGTTATGACACAAAGGACGCATTTGGATGATTTTTTTCGTGGTAGAATTATCGGCCGTCTGGAATGTGGGCGTACCAACTGGAAGTATCAGACGAACTTGGAATTGCCCAGAGTGTCATCTCCAGGCTTTGGCAACGATTCCAAGGTGATGGTAATGTGCGTAGACGTTACAGCACAGGTCGCCCCAGAGTTACAATGCCGAATGAGGACTGGTATTTGGCAGTTACTGCCAAAAGAAACAGGCGGAGCATAGTTTCAGACCTGTTTCGTCAGCTCTCTTTAGCCACTGGTACGACAGTTTCAAGGTAGACCGTGTACAGACGCTTAGGGCAGATTGGTCTATATGCTCGTAGACCTGTCAGATGCGTTCCACTTATTGCAACTCACTGTCGCCTGCGGTTAGCCTGAAATAGAGAACATGCATTGTGGACACCGCAACAGTGGGCTTGTGTGATGTTTTCCGACGAGTCCAGGTTTAGCTTGCAGTCTTATTCTCACCGGACTTTCATATGGAGAACTCCAGTTACCCGTTACCACCAAGAAAACATCATTGAACGACACCGCTACGGTGGTGCAGGTGTGCTCGTTTGGAATTATTCTGGGTTCTGGAACTGACCTGCATGTTCAAATTGGAACCATGACAATCCAAATCTATCGGGACGACATTCTGGAACAACATGTACGTTTGTTTTGGGGCGCTATGGGAGCACAATTTGTGTTTATGGATGACAACGCCCGTCCTCACCATGCAAACATCATATGCGAATGCCTTCAATCGGAGGATATCACCCGCATGGACTGGCCAGCATTCTCACCGGACTTGAATCCAGTAGAGCACGTGTGGGATATGCTTGGCCGACGAGTTGCAGCCCGTCAACCTCCTCCTACATGTCTACCGGAACTTCGAAGAGCATTGCTTTTTGAGTGGTGTAATATTCCCCAAGATCAGATCGATAATTTGATACTCATCATGCTTAGGTGTTGTACGGACTGTATTGCGTCGCCTGGGAGACGTACAAGTGTATTAACAATCATACCAACCATGTAACATTGGTTTTTTGTAAATAGGTTTTTTTTTTTTTTTTTTTTTTTGTAATTTGCTCCAGGGAGAAAAAATTGCTAATTTTTTTTAATAATATCAAACATGTAGCATCTTTTTTTTTTTTTTTTTTTTTTTTTGTTTAATAAATAAGCTTTACAAATAAGTCAAATTTGTTTTGCTTCTAACTCTTCCTTTGCCTGATTTTGCAGTATCCTTAATTTATGGACATGAGTGTAGTTCTGCTAGGTATACGGTCGGGTTCCTACTACACTGGTGTGCAAAAATTAAGGACGAAGTCGAAAAATTAGCATATCAGCTGAACGAAGAGGCAGAGCGGACACAAAGACCAATCAGGAGATTAAGTAAGGTGATGTACGGTAGCACATGCGCAGATATGCAGGTAGACGTAATGGGGAGTGTCTGAGTAGTATAAAGCATGTTGTCGGTGTAAGATCAGTATTTCTGGCAAAGAGATTGCACGCCGTATAGCAGTTAAAATCACACCGAGTTGCTGCCTCAGCGAGAAATGGCGAATAATCAATCTGTTAGACGACATCTGGATGCTTTTACCCGAGGTCAAATCATTGGGAAGTTGGAGGAAGGCCGCAGTGTGACAAGTGTGGCTGCAGAGTTCGGAATTGCTCACAGCATCGTTTCACGACTTTGGAGACAATTTCAAACTACAGGAACAGCTATCCGGGGGTTTATTAGTGGTCGTCCACGAGGAACCACACCCGCAGATGACCGGTATATTGCCTTACAGGCCAGAAGAAACAGGCGGCAGACAGCGGGAGAAATCGCTAGACACGCGACTGGACGACCGATATCGCGTTTTACCGTGGCCAGAAGACTGCACGGTAGTGGTCTGTTTACACAACGCCCTGTACGGTGTGTACCTCTAACGCCTGCCCATCGGAGAAAGCGTTCTCTGTGGTGCCGGGAACACCGGAATTGGAGAGACAATGAATGGGGACGAGTACTCTTTACAGATGAGAGCAGATTCAGTCTGAGTAGCGATTCTCATCGCATACTCATCTGGAGAGAGCGGGGAAGCCGCAATCATCCCTCGAACATCATTGAAAGGGACAGGTAATGGAGGTGGCGGTGTTCTCGTTTGGGGAGGCATCATGCTTGGTAGTCGTACAGACCTTCACATCTTCGACGCAGGTTCAGTCAACGGGACCCGTTATTGTAACGAGATTCTTCTTCCATATGTACGTCTTTTTAGAGGCGCTATGGGTCCGCAGTTCCTTTTCATGGACGGCAATGCACCATGTCATCGCACAGTAGCTGCCGAACAGCTCTTAGAGAGTGAGGATATTGAACGCATGGATTGGCCGGCACGATCTCCGGATCTCAATCCCATCGAGCATGTATGGGATTTTCTAGGCAGACGCCTGGCAGCTCGTACCTTACCACCAGTAACGATTCCGGAGCTTCGATTGGCGCTGCAAGACGAATGGGCAGCAATGCCTCAACAACTCATTGACACCCTCATTCTCAGCATGGGCAGACGCTGTGAAACCTGCCTAGCAGTCAGGGGAGATCATATCCCCTATTAAAGACCGGATGTTTCTTGCTGGACACCCATCACAGGGATGTTTCGGCCTTCAGTCGCATTGCGCTCCATGCTACTTTTTCAATAAAGCTTCTTTTTATCCCTCTCATTTCTCTTTTAGTAAGTGTTGTTTACATTACTCATGTCCTTACGTATTGGGGATCTTACAGTATTAAATGTGTTGATTTGGAAATCTTTTGTACAAAGTTATATTGAAAAACCGTCTCGTCCTTAATTTTTGCACACCAGTGTAATTTAACTGTTTTTGAAGAATGAGCGGATAATTACTTTTTGCGTGGCTGGGTCTGTGTTATTAATTCTCTCTCTTTCGCATGCGACTATCGTGCTTTCTTTTCAGATTTTCATTTTGAAAATAGTCACAGAAAGCTATGCGCTCCCCTTCTGCAGTTTGCAAATAATGGCTTAGAACTGCAATTATGGCTGCCGTGGCTTTCCATAAAGCAACATGTATAGAATATCTTTGAATGGCCAAAACGCTGACACTGAAAGCTTCGGAATGTAAGCTTTTATGGCCCTGTGTAAATATCTGGTCTTAATACTTTTCGACAGATCGGGCAAACAGAAGCTCAGGGTTACGTATTTCGTATTAATAATTCTTTGTATGTATTGATCCGCCTAGCACCACAACCATTCTTGTCAGACAGGATACACAAGGTTTATACACAAGAAGAAAATATCGATCTCTGAAATAACGCAGCGATATTTTTTGTTCTTAAATGCCGACGTTGTCTTTCACAAACCTTTTAAATTTAAGAACAAAAAGGAATTGAGCAAGAGAAATGGTTTCTGAAAGAAGATCTCCAGATCTTAGTTGTTTGATGATTTTTGAATCACCAACTTAAGATTCTACGTACTTGTGTATCAGAAATAGTGACATTTTTTTAATTTCCTCCAACACTGGATAACAAGAAATTGTGATGGACTTTTGTTTTGGTTGGGATTTACATTTGTGTCAGCATTATTGGAGAGGAAGTATTTTTCTGTGGACTTAGTAAATCAGTGGCTCAAAGAAAAGACTCTAACCGAACGCCTTACCCGTCACTGAGTCCAATAAGGAGATGCAGATTTGTGCGTGAGGGTTAACAAGGTCTATACACTTTCTGGAGCCTGCCACCAGGCTTTTCTGCGGGGATTTTTGAATGTCTCCCACTTAAACTAAAGCCAAAAGTCAAAATAATGTGCTGGCGAGTGTAGCTCGCCGCTTAACTGCTCCTTCATTTCAACCTTACAAGTCAACACATGGAAACGCATTGGTAGTTTTCTCACCAAGGGAAGCCAGAGGCAAAATTCTTGTAATAGCATCTCGCGGTGAGCCTCAGCCTCCAAACTAAACTACAAGGAAGAAAGGGTAAAGTAATAAAATAGGAGAAGGGAGGATCAACCGGAGAACTGAGTTATAGGCCCTCGTTCTCACCTACAAGGTAATCCCAAGAGGAGTCAGTTCTTTAGGGACATAAAAAAAACCTTATATAGTACTTATTTTGTTTCCTGTCGCCCTTCTGAAAGTTCTGCTCCTAAGTGATACCTGAATTGCTTAATGCGCTACAGTGGCTCTATTACATACCATCTGTAAGAATGAAGATAATGGATTTTTGTCCTCTCACACCAAGAACAGCTTGAGTGGAAGGAATTAAGTTTTCTCTTAAGGCTGTTAGTGCCGTGCTGGTTGCTGTTCCGCCGCCTGAAAAGAAACATAAAATTATCAGAGGGAAAAAATTGAAAAAAAAAAAAAAAAAAGTGTTACAATCGAAACAGAAACGATTTAAGTACTGAAAGGTAGATTTGAAACTTAACGAGAATCAGGAAAAGTGCAAAAATATCTAAGGGAATTATTTTGGAAAGTTAACACATATTCTTTTCTTATCCTATGCGTCCACACCTTTGCTTCTTAGCTCTGCCACTCACTGATTATTCTCATGCTTACTTCCCAAAGACCTACATACTAGAGCAACCCCTTCAAAAATCATAGTACATAGAAAATAACAAGCGAAGCTCGCACTGAGACCTCTCAATACTCCGAAATTACTCTGAACTGAAAAACTAAGACCTGATGTTCTCACCGGTCTTACATAGTTTTTCTCTGGCTGCCTAGAAATCTCTAGTACGTTATATTTCTCGAAATTTCTGGAAGGCATAGAACGGTTGAAGTAATATAGAACGGCCGGTTACGGTTACAGTTACATACAAGGACCAGTTTCGGTACCCATTACAGTTATGCATGGACATGACCAAATTGTCGCCAGGTTTGGCGACTTTTGGCCAAATTTCGCGGAAAAAGATTACTTGCCAAAACCGTTGCCAGCTTGGCGATATCTCGCCAATTTACCTCAATGCTACGGAGACTTGTCCCTTTAGTCATATTTTTTGCTTTTTTAAGGCATTTTATGCTACATTATACAAGAGATACTGTAAATTTAACCATAAATTAAACCATACTGTAAATTTAACCATAAATTAAGCCATTCTGTAAATTTAACCATAAATTAAACCATACTCTAAATTTAACCATCACTAAAATTATTTACATATAAGCAAAATTCGTAGCAATATTGTTACACGAGTAATTTTCCCATTTGGGGCCATATGAGAACTGGAATAATAACTCCCTGTAATTCAAATTAATGAATTTAAAAAAAAATCTGCACCTGTTAGTAGTCGGAAAAAAAAAAAAAAAAAAAAAAAAAAAAAAAAAAACGAGCATACTAATACAAGAAATTATAAGGTTAAACTCAATTTCGCTTAATCTAAACACTTGTTTAACCTTCTTAAAACTGCAGGAGAATTATCGTCCGGTCCTTTTCTTAGAAAAAACAAAAATTAAATGCGACAATAATAAAAGCATTTAAAAGTTAATTTATACTTCTGGCTGGAAGTTACGAATTTACAATATTAACAAAACATAATAATCACCGCTTGTGGACTGAGATTATTTCAAATATTTAAAAATGTTTCTTTTAAAATTTGAAAATATATGTATTTTTATTTGAATACCGCATTTCCTCTCGTATTTTCTCCTCCTCCCCCCTTTTTTTTGCTAATTCAACCGTCCAAAAATCGAGAAAGTAAATTGACATGAATAATTTAATTTCCAAAGAACGCGGTTATAATAAGAACATAATAAAAAGTAGTCATGGATGAACTATAATAAACTATCAAAATATTATTTCTCTGAAAGAAACCTACATTTCAATAAGAATTCGCAGTAATATTAACAATGCAACAACAATGTATCTTCATTTCTACTCCCTGTAATTCAAATCTTGGCCGTTTTTATTATTGTCTCCTCTAATTCTTATACTTAAATTGTCCATAAATAGCGAATGAGCATGTGACTCAGCGAAACCGTAGACTGAATGTCAGTTCGTGTTTGCTTCGCTGTGATGGATCGGTTCTGATATTAGTCTGGCATACAGTTCAATAGTTAGAAAGGGGAAGCTAGGCGTCACTTTCGCCAGTAGTTTATGAGGATTGTCTTTGTTAGTGAGATATTTAAAAGTTCAGGAACTCGTTTTATGAACTCAATGACGAACGGGAAAATTACAAGAATATTTTTAAAATTTTCAGAACCTGACGCTGAAAAGCTTGGGGGGCGGAATAAGCGAAGAGGAAAAGCATGTGAGGAAATATGGTATAATTATTCTTATTTACACTTAAAATAACTGTTACAAAGTTGAAGAATTTTTCTTTACCAGTATATTTGATTTCGTCTAGAGCATGGAGAACGTCTTCTGTGGTCTTGTAGTTAGCAGGTAAAAATGCTGTTTCAGCGTCAGAACTAAAAGTCAGAGCTCCAGCTCTTGCCCCATTTTCAGTTATGCGAACCTTAAAAAAAAAAAAAAAAAAAAAAAAAAAAAAGGATTTAAAGAAAAGTCACTGCGTTACGTCGGTTTCAACGGCGACCGGCATTTATTAGCCAGTTTTGAAGGCGTTATCATTAAACGATACAGCAATTGATAAAGCATAATCAAAAACCGAATAATAAGAGTTGTGAAATCGTTTTTTCTTCTTTTTCAAGAATCGGAATAATTTGCAATAATATATAAGTTTTTCAAAATTTAAAATTTATCTTTTATTTTCAAAGTTATTAATATTTTCTCAAAGTTTTATTATGTAAGAGTAATCGTTCAAAAATTCATTAAACTATAAATATTTTCCATTTTGAATTAATGCGTACAAAATTACTAGTTGGCTGCGTGATAATACTAAGTGTGAATTTCCGAAAGACAGTCTCGCGAGCTGGAGACAAAAATGTTAATTTCTTACAGTGTTGCCACTGCTCATTTTGAAATCGTTGGGCTTGTTAATAAAGAATTCGCTAAAGTTTTACAAAATATGAAATAGATAATTTAGTCGGACTTCCAGGTGCCCACATGTTCGGGTGGAGGACTATGCTATTCAAAATTTGATGACTCTAGATACTGTTGTTTTTTCACATTGCGAGAAGCATGGATTCAATAATCTAAATTATTCATTATTTAGTTTCTTTAAATATAATACAGAGCGATAATATTTGATGATGAAAAATGATTCGGGCATTTAAATGATTCGACGCGGCTAAAAGAAAAAAAAAAAAAAAACTATACTGATCAACAAGTTTTGCAATGATCTGTATGGAAATGCTTATCATTTAATCTCGTAACATCAGAAACTTTTCAAACTGATTTTATTTTTAGTTTCGCACACAAGTATTTCGTTCTTCAGTTTTTGTATGGTCCCTAGAGATTATCCCCGTATTGAATACCAAATATCTCGGTCAACTTTTGTTGTACAGGAGTCAATTTTCGTGGCTCATATTTTATAAAATACAAAATTTTCCTATATATATGAGTATACAAGGACCGGAGGAACGTATATAAAATTAGATTTCATAATTTTTACAAAATCAATTGCTCTAAATTTTAAAGTACCAAAACATGATTATTTGTATCATTTAAAATAGTTTTTAATTGGAAGTCAAGTATGCTATGTCTACGACCAACAACTACGAAAGGTTAGGTTAGGTTATATAATTACGGCAAAGCCTCGAGGGCTATCTGCCTAAGGGGAGGGATGCCTTCCTGGAGGACTTTCTAAGGGAAACTGGCTCGTATACACGTTACACGTGGGGAAAATCACGAAAATACCCATGCAGCCAGCCCGTTCGCGGCATTCGAACCTCGGACCAAACTACCAGTGTTCAGCGACTTTACTGCTCGGCCGCTGGTGGGCCCAACAACTACGAAAATAAATCCCGTTAAGGAATGTCGTGGACACGGTGTGTAATTTTAAGACATCAAAACATCTATGAATGTTTCTCATTGCTTAATAAAATCCGAATCTGTTGTTATAACTGAATTTTTAGTTCTTATTATTTCTTGATTTCTCATTTTCTTAATCATCTCAGAAGAGGATGAAGCTATGAGAAATCCGCGAAATTTCCGAGAGCCCGCTTACCAATTGCATAATGCTGTTAAGGGGACAGTGGACGATGGTTTTAGCAAAAATCGACCAAAAATTGGGAAGTAAAAATTTCATATGGTAATATTCTACAGTTTTAACTCTACTGTCTACAAAAAACTACTTGTGTGTAAAATTATTTTTAAGGATGTTATAAGCATTTGAATACGCTTGTTTACCTTTTTTTGTTTAAAGGGACATTTAAATGTCATTAAAAAGGTAAACAAACATTTGAGAAACGTTATTTTAATTTACGCTACTAATACTTTTTACTATTAGTATCCATGACTTATGCAATCGGTTTTAGAGGAAGCGGTAGAGGTTTCTTAAGTGTCATTTCCAGACCATACAATCGGTTTTAGAGGAAGCAGTAGAGGTTTCTCAAGTATCATTTCCAGACCATACAATCGGTTTTAGAGGAAGCGGTAGAGGTTTCTCAAAGTTTCATTTCCAGACCATACAATCGGTTTTCGGAAGCTGGAAATGTTCGCCAAAGATCGGGACAAAGTCATACGCCTGCAACAGCACAAAAGGAAGTTCGGTATTTAACACTAACGGGTAGAAGAAACCGCACTATCACCGCCACTTTCTTGAAGCAGCAGCAACCTTCAGAGGCGTATGGTACTAGAGACTCAAACTGTTCGAAAAAAGAGTCGAGTATGGAGGTTTGTATGCTCGCAGACCTATGGTTTGAGTTTCGTTGTCAAAGGATCACCGTGCGGCCGCAGATGGTGGGCATAGGAGCATCTCAGAGGGATGTCAGAGTGGAGCTACGTGATCTTCACGGACGAGTCCCGCGTTAGTGTACAACCTGACAATAGGCGAATTCTCATCTGGAGATAATCTTCATCTTTAGAAATTTCTCTCTCCCGGCGAACGTTCAGTTCAGCCATCCAGACGGTATGCTGGTTAGGGTAGCCTATTGTGGTACCGAAGGGCCCCTGTTCCTGGAGAAGGCATGGATGTTTGTAAACGTATACTGTCTTTGCGTCATGGGGCACTCAAAATATGCGACGAGCTGAAAGTCCTCTCGAAAGGTTGCTACTAGGGGATGAGGCGTGGGAGACCCTTGGATTTGTCCCCTAGGGTGCTCTGCATCAAAATTGGGGGGGGGGCTGAACTGAGCGAAGTCCTACTGTCACCTGTTGCTCAGGGCTCTTGCCAATGACAGGCGCAATCTTTCTTTCCTTGCCACAATGCCAACAACAACAACATTCAGTTCATTATAACACGGTTTGCAGAACTTCTGTACAACTCTGTCATCCAAACCATGGTCTTGTAGGGTTTTAAGTTAATTAACCAGTTATTATGATATAAATCATTATCTGAACTTCTTCTTTCCGTAGTCTTCACCAGAATGCAAATTAGTCGTGTTGTTGTCGTTACTAATCTAATTTATTTGACCTATACAGAACAAGCCCACGAATTGTATCGTGGCAAAGAGTGCAAGATCGTGTCTTTAGCTGCATACTGGTGACAGTCTGACAGACGCTATGTAGTTAAACCGAGGGTTTGAAGGTTTTAGAGTTAGAACTTCTGGCGACCTCACATTGTAACAAGAGTAAGAACCTCAAATAACAAGAGTAAGTGCTTTCTCGTGACTTACCTTCTTTACAATAGCCTTGGCGAACTCTATACTTTTGCGGAAGTTGTGTTCTTTGATGCTACCTGACACATCAAATACAAAATACAGAATGAGTCTGCCTGGATAGTTCAGATCAACTATTCTTTCCTTGGGGCCATCAGCTATGTTTCCGTTGGGATCGATTACCGTTCCATTCTCCCAAATGATGCGAGCTGCAAGGCGGTATTCCCTTAACTTTCGTCTTTGTTCTTCTGCATTCTCCTTCACTTTTAACTTCAAAATTTCACCAATTTGAGCAGTGTTATCATATTCATAGGGACCTAAAATAAAATATCTTATTTTACTAAACTATATTCATGTCTGTGAAAATTGCAGTATCACGAAGGAAGGAAATTTGTGCTGCATATTACTAATGGTAATATTAAAAAAGTATATTAAAGTTTCATATCGATTTAACCAAATTATCGGCATAAAATCACTATTTGATGAAGGAGATTGATAATATTTGTCGGTATATGTGGATGGGATTTTCTAGATTCTTTTTCTTTTATGTTAGCTTAGTATTTTGTTGCGCATTGTTGTATAATGTGTTTTCTGAGGGTAATATACGCAAACCTATACAATTATTACCTAGGAAATATAGGAGATTGAGAACACTGAAGAATAATTTCGGTATATTTTTTATCTAAAACTGTCAAAATATATTATTTGAAGCTACTATGAGCGGTAATAAGAGCATATATACATAGCAGCATTGAATCAGTGATTTTGGATGTATCCCTGGGTACTCTTGCCAGGTTGCTTCCTTTCGAGTCCACAATCCATTAGTATCGGCTGCTGAAGAAGAGCTACCAATAACCATGTCACATAACATATGCAATCGACAGTATGTTTGGCGAAAGGGCAGGCCATGAAAAAAAGCTCTAACTATTGAGCTGCGAAAGGATCTGCCTCTGCACCTTCTCTCATATAGCGGTTGATGTAGAGAATAAACATAATTTATAGCATATCCAATGATGTTCGATGTCATCACGAGTGTCGTTCGTCCAATATGACAATCTAAAATGCATGCTGGAAGATGGAGTTCATTACAATACCATCTAATATATATGGGATCACCGCTGTAGTCCTGGTTAAAGCGGAACTTGTCAGAAAAGACAATCTGTTGCCAATCCGCACGTCATTATCTATATTAATTCGGTAACTGTAGCCTGAGGCCTAATGTAGATGACTAATATTAAGAGAATTAACCTCAAATGAATGCTTGCACACAGTTAAGCGCCGTTAAATCCCATAAACAGATAATCTCACATTCATAGCAGTATTTCAATGTTACTGCCCAAAAGAAGCCATGTTGCCCATCACCGTCATTCGGATGAAATATCTATCACCCCGTGGTGTCGTTACATATTACGATCTACTATGAGTAGTATAAAAATACGGGTTCACCTGCACGCGGTGTGCGGTGTGGGCGTGGTCAATGACGTCACACAGAGGGCGGGTCCAAAGGCAACGTCATCACACAAGTGGAGTTGAGGTGTTGGTAGACTGCTGATTGAGTTGTAGACCTCCTGCTTTTCATTTAAAGTTAGTTTTTTTAATTGGCAACAGGAAATATTTTCTGCATCTTAATTTGATGAAATGGCGATGCTGTCCTCTCTAATAAAAAAAAGTGAATTATATGTTTTAGAAATATTTTTTTTAAGTTTGGTGTTAGAATTATTCAATGCGCGACTCTGAAAACAATGTAAAAGAAACAAATATAAAAAAGACTTTCCTTTAATGATAGTTCATCATGTCATGAAAATGAAACTACAAGATAATTTGTTTTTATTACTCAATTTTATTCTGATACTTTTATCCTTTCTAGTTTTTTCCATGAAACTTTAACTTATTTCTCAGGTTTTCTGTTCATAATAACATATTCGTTTACTGTCATATTTTTTTAATACTTAACGTTTCTAATTTGTAATATTTTATTTAATTTCCACATACTATTTTTTTTCATACCTTTCATAAATTTCAGCATACCCTGATTTTTAACTTATATGTTATATTTCACAAACGTTCCCACACATGCTGTTTATTTGTTACACTACTTAATTTTAGATGCAATTTCACACTTTTTTTAACGTTATAATGTTCAATATATTCTGAATTTTAACTTCATTTACTTTTTTAAAACATTCTAGTATTCTATACACACTTAAACTTAGGGGTTTGAAATTCTATTTAAAAAGAAACGTTTATTTTTCGTAATCTTAGTTCTTTTACTAAATTTTCTACACAGAATTTCTAATTTCTTTTCACATGTTCAACAATATCTCTTCCTTACATTACCGAATATTTTTTTAAAAAACTTAAGTCTATAACTGTTAATTGCTTTCTCTTACGTTCATGATTTCCCTTCTGTGTTTATATTTCTTAATTCTAGTTTAACTTATTTATATATGTTTTATTTTTTATAATGTTTATAATTTTTTATTTCTGTTCTCATCACTCGTAATTCCAACTCATTTTATCCCTTTTTATTCATTTTAACGATATGGATTGTTTTCATTTACTCCATATTCAAATATTTCCTTACAATTTTTAAAATACTTGTTTTATTCTCCGATCATAATAATAGATCATCTACAGGTTTTACTCAGAAATTTCCATTCACAACTTTACAGTTTAATACCATTTATATCTAAATGTATTTCTTTCTCATATAGTTTTTTATGGTCTTCAAAGTTTCTAACATCATGTTTAGTTTTAAATCCCGATTACCTTTAAGTGTGTTGATAATTTTCATTTCTAATTTTACAACCACGTTCAGTGTTTCATCCACACATACCAAAATATTTCTTACATCTTCTGATATTTAGTCTATGTCATATTTCAGTACTTCAAATGAATTTACAATGCTCACACTATTATTTTTTCATGTTTTAGAGACACTGACTATACCTAATTTTACTATTTTTCCTACACTAATTGCATCTATGTCAGCACTCATGATAAACTAGCAATTGTTTTGCATCACATGCATAAAGAAATTCTTAAAACCAACTTTTTCAATATCGTACTCAAATTACTGTTTTCCAGATGGGAATTACCAGTATTCTTTAGTTTTACTCTGTTACATCTTTTTAAATTTTAACATCTTACTTTTAATTCTAACATACATCTTTTGAACAGTTTTTTTCTTTTAATGATAGCCTTACCTTATCTGTTCAAATTAATTCTTTAAGTCACCTTCTTTACTACCTTTCAGTACCTTCATAATTCACTATGCAAACGCAATGTCTTTCACTGACATTCTGTTTGATAATACTACAAGTTTCCTTAATTGACAAAAAGCGAATTATTTCAAAATATTTCGCACAAACACTACCTTCATCCATTCAAGACTCCCCTTAACCTGTAAGTGACGTAGCGATAGGAAAGGAGACTCTTATCATATGCTCTTTCGACATTTGAGGTTTTTAGAACTTCTTTGGCAAGTATATCAATACCATCAGAAAATATACTTGACATTTTTACCCAGTTTAAAGGCAACATACTGTTATAAGAATGGTTTTAGTTAAATTTATAAGACAAATAAACACATTTTGTGCTAAATAGGCATAAACATTTAGATTCAGAATATTTCTTTTTAATCCAATGTAAGACTTGAATTTCATTCATGATACGGATTGTCTCTTGATTTTTTGTTTTGTTTTGTTTTGTTTTGTTTTGTTTTGTTTACCTTACACTAATAGAAAATTTTTATTTTACAAGTTCAGCTTTTAACGAAATAGAAATAAAAACTACGATACACCTGTTGTTTTTAAGAAAAGGAACTTTGATATATTTCTGGAAATGTAAATGCTTTTAGAGTTTTCTTTCAATAACGTTGATTTTCATTACTTTACTAACTTCAATAATTCTCTTATTAGCTAATATGAATGAAAGATTGTCAAAAATGTGACACAGTATAACTCTTACGAACATACGTACCTTTACCAGCATATAGATATTACCGATTGAAATGAAGAAAGATACAGATATTTTACTCCAATCTACATTAAATTAAAAAAATATTTAAACTTTCATACATTCCAAAGAATAAACGAAAACTCAATAGATATTGTCATGTTTGTATATATGAGATAAAAGTTTTATGAATAGTATTTAAAGTAATGTTTAGAACTTCATAAAAGCGAACATTCACTATGTTAATACACATATCATCAGTTATTTACATTAATCAATGTAATATTAATCATTACTTTAAAGTTTAATTGTCTTACAATTGAATAATTAACTATTGAGAGAAAGAGGTTCATATCTTGCACTATTTAATTCACATGGAACAAATTTTCCCATCAACCACATTGAACCACGTTTATTAAATTCGCCAAAGCTCTTTTATTTCTGCATTTTCACACTCACGACACATTTTAAATGTAACTATTGATTACCATTTCAAACACCGATATCATAACTCAGTGTAACACTACATCATAACTCATTTTTTTCCCACTAACTACAATTTTATATATTCAAGAAGTACATCTAAGACATGATCATTTTCTATGTTCTAGAAAATCGATTCAATTGCGAACATACTATTAAGACTTGCGATTTTAGAAGACTTGCATGTATTAACGATGTCAACGTTTCTTCGTTTTTGTAAGATTCGCATCAAACCATGTCGCATTCGAATGTGGTGTAAGAGATCACTTTTTCTTTTAAACACTTGTAAACAATGGATGCAATTTATAAGAAGAGAAGTATCATGCTGTTTCAAAACATCATCATCAGCATATTTGTGTTTCTTTTGACACCGGCAAAATTAAAAAAAAAAAAAAAAAAAAAAAAAAGGTTCGTGAGATTTTCTTCAAATTCTGTTTTACTTGAAAAAATGTCCGAACATTCAATACGATGTAAGTTTCATATCATCATATATATATATAGTTTTAAATTCTTATGCTCACTAAATATCTTTTATCATGATTTACTCTTAAAAGTAACTTTATAAGTTTTCATATCCTTTTTACATGAAAAGAACTTGTGATTATTCACTACAAAATTCTAAGACGAGAAGCTTCGCGACTTTTCAAACTATAAACTTAAATTTCTTAGGACATACACTACATCTGATGTTTCTTTCATGAGATTTCAAATATCTCTTCAGATTACTCGTATTCAAGAAACCTCGCAAATATATCACATAAGTAAACTTTCAGCGAATAATCGCTTCATAAACTCTTAAATTTTCAACACGAGTGAATCACTTGAATCATATACTGCATTGTAAACATATAATACTTAAAAAAAATTGTTATAAAAA